TTCAACAAGATTTGTTGGTACATTTTGACTATATATATATTTTACTATATATATATTTTATATAAATATATAAAAATTTATTAAATTAAACTGAAAAATTTATTACTTATTAGTAAGTACGTAAAATGTCTTACTAAGTTTTCCAATTGTTTATAAAACTCCATGAAAATACTTATGAACAGAGTTGCCACATATTTTTTACTATAAAAAAATATATTTCGCTTACTAATTAAAATGCAAATAAAATGTCGTAATATATTTAGTTATTTATAAAATTCCAAGAAAGTATTTATAAACAGAGTTGCCATAATTTTTGTTACCATAAGAAAATCTTACTTCGCTTACGAATTAGTAAATAAATAAAACGAAATAATATTTTTTTCTGATTATTTATGAAATTCCATGAAAATATTTATAAACAGAGTTGCCATATATTTTTGTTATCATAAAGAAATCTTTCTTCGCTTACGAATTAGTAAATAAATGAAACGAAATAATATTTGTTTCTGATTATTTATGAAATTCCAAGAAAATATTTATAAACAGAGTTGCCATATAATTTTGTTACTGTAAATAAATCTCATTCGGCCAACTAATGAATAATTATGTAAAATTGCATATTATCATTTCTTCATTTGTCATAATTTCCTGTTGAGAATATTTATGAATAGAGTTGCCATATAATTTTATTACTTTAAAACACTTACTTGGCTTACTAATTACTGAATAAGTAAAATGTCATACTAAGTTTATTATATTATATTTATTTTTATAATTCCATGAAAATATTTATGATCAGAGTTGCCATGTTTTTTATTCATTTTGCTCAAAGAAAGAATATTATAGTAAAATATTTCATATAAATTATATTTTTACATGTACCTGGAGTATAATTTTTCGAAGGGGGTTGGCATGAATATCACGAAAATAATTGAGGAGTTAGTGAAGATAGCTCCGTTGCAAACTCTTATTTAATTTTCTCTTTTAGAGAGTTAGTTTCATTTTCGTTGTCAACATTGTTAAAAATGGCCAATTTTGTTCTATTGTGAATGAAAAACAAGCAATACTGACAGCTGTCTTTCAAATTTCAATAATACTTACACATTTTCAACTTCTCTCTGCTGTAAGATCCAATTTGGTAAAAATAAAATTTACTTTACACAAAATGTGTCACACGACACTATTAATATGTCAATAACTGTTCGCAAACGCCTATTTACAAGGTCACAATAACGTACATACATACATATTTCTGTTTATTTTCAGTACTTTTGCCCAAATGCTGCCCATTGTGATGATCACTTTGTTCGTCGCGTTGCCGTCGCTGCCGACGACCATTTCATTTGCGCAAGTAATAATATTCTAATATCGTGTGACGTTAACCGTCGTAATACTAAGTGCAAATATTCATTTCGATGCAAGTACACAGCCGAAAATATTTGTCACGTACACATAGTTACGTTGACATTACATAATTCGAAAATTTCAACAATTTTCCTAATAATTTTAATTGGCACAAGCACCCGAAATTATTTTAGAAATGTAAGTAATTCTATGAACTCTAAGTTTTAACTTTTTAAACTTAGCATTAGCGGAATAACGGAGTGTTAATGAAAACAGAGGTTCAGAGGCCAGAAAGTCACGATTACTCAATCCCCAATGAATTGAAAGAACTCGCGTGGAAATTAAAAAATGCACGCAGTGCAATTCTTAAGCCCTTTGCGGAACAAACGAATGAACGAACACACGAGTATCGTTTAGATTTCTTAATTGGGTCTTAAGAAACTGAGCACGCTTTTCTCAAAGTCTGGTTAGCCATCTATCAGTTGTGGTTACAAAAAAAAGTAATTTATCGAAAGAAGGTGTCTTGGTTAAGTTAACCAGAACTTATCTGACAGATGGTTGCCAACCAGGCAGTGAGAAAACGGCACTTATAGAAATTTCAACAGATATTTCTGATAGTCATTTTGATATTTACTAGCTAATTAACTGATAGTTGGCTTGAAGTGTGCAACCGAGCCGCGTGCACCAAGCGAATTGAAGCAATAATTAGTTTACAGTTTCTGTTAGGTATGAATGCTGTTTTGAAGAATTTGTCTAATCAAATACTACCAAAAATACATTTCAGAATCGGAAGTTGTGCTATTGAGCGTGACACCGTCCATCATGAGTCGAAACGTTACGAACTCTTCAGCCTGACTCTTACGTCCCCAAATTTTTCAAATCATACACTTCAGCTACAAAATATTACTTCTTGTAGCACCAAGTATGGCCTCTTTTGCGATTTGCCGGTATACCTCAAGTGTTTACTGATTGATTAACGAATTCTATGGGATGTTTATCTACAACGTGATTAGTACACTTATGCCCAAGCAGGTGAGTAAAAAATATGACAATTTGCTTGATAAATAATTTTAATAAAATTTCTGAATTCCAAATGGTACTTTACATATTTATATATGTATGTATATATGTTTAGCAGTGTATAATTTAACAATAATACGAAAATAAATGAATTTCACAAAATCAACAGCAGCACTTGAGCGCATTCAAATTTAATTGCGATGCGAAACAACCGCAACAACAAAATTGGCGCTCTCGATGACATTACATTATTTACGTTGTGTACGTGTGTGCGTGTGTAAGTGTTTGTGGCTGTATTTGATGGTATCTCGTGATTACACGTGCATTAACTTTGCCAAATATCTAAGTACACATTTATGCTTGCGAGATATCGCTAATTGAGCAGCAACTCATCGTGACGACAGCACTTGTGTGCGAAGTGGGTTTTTATTTACGAGTAAGAAAATGAAACAAATTAGCTACTTTGTAACTTTCTTGAAAAAATCTTATCAGTGTTCCATTGTTTTAGTTGCTTATCAGTTTGTTGTAGTTGTCGTTTTGCTTGGATTTTTTGGTTTTATTTACGTGCCTTCGTTTGAGTATTTGAGTGAATTACAGTTTTGCTTATCGCATTTTGGAGAGATAGCTACTTGAACTGAGTGATATTCACGATTTTGGGGAGCATTTATTAGAAATACACAAAAGCCGAATCGTTTCGGTTAGTATATTCTTCAAGTCAATCCAAGATAGAAAATAAATATTTTGGAGAAAATAGTTTTTAAATTCATATTACTATCATTTACTATTTTGTGACCATACAAGTATATGGTGGTAATACAATATATACCACAATTTGAACCGTATTTAAGATGAGCTTCTAACGGTAATTTTACACGTGTACGTTTAATAGAATTTTTATATTTATATTTTATATTGGAACTACTAACTCCTAATACTACTACTATACTACACAAATCGTAGGTACTGGTCTCGTTGCTGAATAATTAAAGCCAGAAATGAGGCTGCATGTAAAATAATCTTTGTATTTAACAAAGCAAATTGATTTGAAGATTATAATAAAATTTTAGAAATATTCTGAGTTAGAGTTGCCACGTATTTCAAAAATAAAAATTAATGTTAAATATTAAATAATTAAGAAAACTTGCTGAATAGTTCTCGTTATATTTTTAATCCGGAATTTTTTTGAAACAGTGTTGCCACATCAAAAAAAATGTACCGAACAATTAATTATAAAGAGTGTGTTTGGGTATTTGGTTTTTAAATATTCTGTAGTAGAAAATAATACAAAACAATATTTGGCATAGCTTCAATTTCGACATAACTGGTGTGGAGTTGCCAGATTTAAAAACTGGAATTGAAATGTCACCACTTAAGAACAATTTTTGCAATAATTTCTTAACTCTCATTTTTTTTAAACAAAATTTCCACATAAAAAAATATATATTGAAATTTATGCGCTAATTTTTTATTTTAGCATTTGTTTGGAACATAGTTGCCAATTTAATATATTTTGAATAACTGTAATTTACAAAACAAACGGTATAGAGTTGCCAATATTCTCAAAAGTGAAGCTGAGGGTGTGAAATATAAAGCAATTAACAAAAAAAAAGTTCTAAAATGTGTAGGATGAATTTTTAATTGAGTTTGGATGAAAACACTCCAGTTATGAGAGTATTGGTTGCAGGACCCGCCGGGGGAAGCAGTGGAAGAGAAAGACCTTCGCTCCATTGGAAAGACGAGGTGTCGGAGGAACTGGCAACGCTTGGAATCTTCAATTGGCGCCAAACAGCGAAAAGGAAGAACGACTGTTATAAACTCGGATATAGCGGGGTAAGCGGTGTCTACGCCAATAAAGAAAAAGAAGTTTTGTAATATTTTCTTTTCTTAGCCAAAATTTATTTTACGATCGCAATGTGAAAACGTATTCAAAGCTGACTAGAGAAATTTCTACTGCCATCGACTATTTATTACAATTTTACATTAATTTTCGATGGCTTGAATATCGAAAAAAGATTACAGAAAAATGCAGATAGTCTGTAAAGTTCCAAAAGTGTATGTTTTACATTTTAAAAGCTTTTGTTTCGGCTAAATTTTCAAACGACCCCAAGTGAACTTAGTTAACTATAAAAGTCACATAAGTTAAGTGTCACCAATTGTGCTTTTGGAGCTCAATAAATATATTTTTGTTTAAGTTTTATCCTCCTGTGTCAAATGCTTTACATACATACATGAATTTGTGTGATCTAAGGCAACAAGGCAAAGGCAAAGCAAACAACCTTCATGGCTTAAGGAAGGTCAGCATAAACTTTATTTTCGAAACACACGAATATTTGCACACAGTTAAATCAATTGAAGAGAGTGGTAGTTGAGTAGCAAAACAGAAAAAAATCTAAATAAAAAAGCTAAAAATGAAAATAAATTAAATAAAAATGCAAACTTAAGTGTGTCCGCAGCGAACGAGTTCATGGCGGTTTGGTATTGCTCGTGTTTGCTAATTTTTGCTAACGAATTTTCTAAGCGCACGCCGCTGCCCTGAGCATATACTAAAACATATGTATATAAAAAACAAAAAAAAAATTAAATGAAATAAAGTAAGCATGTAAATGCAAATAGTTTGCTTAATTTCTGGTACTAACCTTCCCAAACAGTGTGTCAACCAATAGGCGTAGTAATCCAGTTGTGAGAGGGTTTCTTGCACTGAACTCTCGTCGTTGTTGTAAGCCAGCGTGTAGGTTTTCTCTGTCGACTTGTTTTCAATAAATTTATGTAGATAAATCCAATGTAATCCAATTAAAAGTAATCCAATGTGTGGGTGTGTTGGTGAGCCAATTGAAATATTTTGTGGTATTCTTGGTTACTTTTATGCTGAGATTTGTGATATGCTTTCTGATTTCAAATTTTATTTGTAAAATAATAATTGGCAAATTTTGTTTCTTTGTTTTGAATTTTTGTTTGTGTATGTATATATTATATGTGTGTGTGTGTTTCTTATTTTCTTATAACTGGAGCAATCTTCAAGAACACTTCTACTACAACTTCACAGCAAATTTATTATGTTCAGGCCAATACATTTTTATTGTATATAATATGTACATAGGTTAGAGTGGTGTTTTCTTTGTTGTTGTTTTTCATTTGTAACGCATATTTGGTTGATTTTCCGTATTCTCCGAGTTCAGGTTAATTGGTTTTTGGTTGTGAATTTTATTTTATTACTAATTATAAGTAAACTTTAAGGCACTATTGTTTGCTGGAAGGAAGGAAAATTTTAAGTTTCGCACATTTGTGGAAAAAGCGATAGGGGGAGCTAAAAGATGAGCTAAAAGTTGTTTGCATTTACAGTGATGTTTGGCTGTAGGCATATTTTGAATGCAAAGTTAATGCGCCGTTTTGTTGTTTTTGACAGATTAACATTTTTTGTGTGTTTCTTTTATATGAAAATATTTAATTATAAATTAATTGCAATTAATTTTTTTTTGACGCTCGTAAATTAATTACTATATTTTTTTAAATTTTATTTTAACTAATTTTTCGTAATTTTTTTCAGTTGTTTTGTTTAAAATTTTGTTTCTTTCAGCTTTTGAAATCTTATGCGTTTCTATTTTGGTGATAAATAATTGCCTATTTGCATTTACGTATTTGTTATGTTCTTAGGTCGCAAAAAGCAGTAAACTACCTATGCGTAAGACTAGACCTCGGACTAATCTTCTGGTAGCGGCGATCACCTCCCAACTCAGACTAATGACCAATGGCCAACATAGGAGTCCTCAGACAAGAAAATGTGAAGCTCTTAATGTTGACAACAATCAGCGTCCTATTATACCGGTGAACCGCACCGCAGCCCACAGAGTTGCATCAGACGAACAGTTACAGGCGATGCAATATTTGTTATAAGCGGTAATGCCCTAATTGATCTTCTGGCATAGGAAATGAAAAAGCTATGGGAGCTAAAGAAACCTTCAGAAAATAACAAGACGGCAATAGAACAAATAAAAAAAGATATAATAACAACATGGCAACGAACTTGGGAGAATGACAGTCGCGGCGGATGGACGGTCAGGCTAATAAAATATCCAAATTTACGGCTTGTTTGGAAAAGTTAATTTTTGCACAACCCAGCTGCTATCCGGTCAAGGATACTTCAAAAAGTACCTGCACAGGATGGGAAGAGTCGAAGAGCCGTCATGCCTATACAACCATTAGACAGAAGACGATGCTGAGCACACATTCTTTGAATATATGCGATGACAACGAGAAAGTACCGCCGCAGAAGACTTGGATAGCACAATAAACGCGGACAATTTAATCAATGCTATGCTGGAGAGTGAAGCAAACTGGGAGATTATCTAGAAATTCGCAAAAGCTTGCCACCAAGCAAAACGCGGGAACTGGACGGAGGTGTGTAGTTGTAAATCTCTCAATGAGAAAAATGGTACGTCACCCTGAAGTAATGCAAATATCGTCCCAGGGTGGGCGACGGTTGTTTAGAGCGGTTAGAGGGGGGTTTTTGGTGACCTGCAAGTGGCACATACATACTGTTGCTGTGACGACAGCACTAATGATCCGGAAACATTTTTACACCCCCTCACCCGCAAAAAAAATTTTTTTTTGATCACATGTATTATTACCAGTATTGTCGTTTAGGAAAGATTTCAAATTATTTTCATTTTTATATTTAATTTATTATGAGTATAATAGTTTTTTTAAAGACCTTTAGTTGTGTTTTCTCTGCCTTTGTTAGTTGTTGTTGTTTTCGTCAATTTCTCATTTTTTTATATATGTATAACACTTTTATTTTTTCCTTATAATTTCTTAATAAATAAAATATTTTTCACTTTTATTATTTGGGCATTATTATATTTTGAATTTTAATTCAGTTTTTTAAGACCGCACCTTATTATTAATTTGTTATTACTATTAAAAAAATTAGTTTTTTTCAAATCCAAATTAAATTTAATATATTTGTTTAACTTGATTTTCAATTTGTGTAATTATTTTGTATATATTTTATTATTACATAAAATAGAGTTTTTAAACAACTTCATTACTTCAATTATTTTTAATTAATTATTTAAATTTTTCTTTTATATTATATACCGAGTTTAAATAGTTAAATCATTTCAAATATAATTCCAAAATTTTTTTATAATTTCATTTATAATTCACACTTTAAAGTTTAATTTGTTTTATTGGAATTGTTGTACTCTTTTAATTGTGTTTTTATTATTATTGTTAACATTCTTATGTCTTATATTTTTGTTTTATTATTTCTATTGTTTATTACTCGTTTTTAATTTCATGATCTATTATGTATTTATAATTTTTTTTCTTGATATTTTTAAAGGTGTAAATATTATTATTATAATTTTTACCGTGTTGATTTCACTTTGAAAGTTATTAGATATTTTTTTGTAGTTATTTGCTAAAATTTAATATTTATTAATTTTTTTATTCATTATTTTTATCTTATAGTTTTTGATTTATTATTTCTATTGTTTATTACACTTTTTTAATTTCCCGATCTATTATGTATTCTATAAAGACTTATATACTTTTTAAGACATTAGTGTTGTATATTCCCATTCCTTAAAACGCACAGTGTTAGCAAATCCACAAACGAAGCGGTTTGAGAAATGCTCAATACGGTAAATTCGGTAATTTAGGTAGTTTGTATATTATTAAATTTTTTCTGTCCTTTCCTCACTTAACATTTGTTTATTGCGAAAAAGCCATAAATTTCTCAAAAATTAAATTTTTTGTTTGTCAAAAATATTTAAAAAGAATACTTCTTTGCTCATAATGGTAAATTCGGTAATTTAAATAGTTTTTATGTTATTAACTTTTGTCCGTTGTTGATTGTCGATTTCTCACTTAAAATTTGTTTATTCCGAAAAAATTAAAAATTTTTGTTCATAAATCAAACCTATTTTTTTCATAAAAGTTTTTTTTTTTTTTTTTTGTAAATTCAAATTATATATTTTTTCATAAATTCACAAAACATGTGTTTTCCAATATAAATAATTTTTTTTATTTTAATATTGCATCCATTTGGCTCTAAAATATATAGTATTGAGCACTATATATTTTTTCCACAATCACTTTTGCTCTTGTTTCATATAATTTGTATTCCCTTTTTCAATTCTTCACTGCATACATTCTTTGCCTGTTTATTTACAAGCGTTCGTATATGAGTACATGTAATTTATATTTGTTGCACTGAGAACTATCAATGCGCATCCGCATCCGTATCCGTTCTATGGCTGTTGCGTTCGTTGCCTTTGCCGTTGCCGTCGTATCTACCGCGCGCGCTACAACACATAAATGTAACTAACGTTTGCGAATGGCTCAATCTCAATGTCTCGATTTCGGTTTGTGGGTTAAGAGACCACGACTACTAACACATACATACAAACACACATGCATACCAGCCACATACTGCTGGCTTATACGCCAGCTAGGGTGCTACATCGCACTACTAACACTACTGCAAGCGAACCACAAAAAAATGGCGAATAGTAACACCAACGTAATACAACAACACGCGCACATACCATTAGAGAGGAGCAATAAAAATCGCAGACGCACATACACACGCGCGCGTAAGAACAAGTATTTGGCACCCTTACATATATTTCGAGCAACAGTTGGAAAAACACTAAAAAGTAGCCAAAAGCGCACACATACCAGCGCAGAAATTTGAAATGAATTCAAATTGAAATTGATGAGCGCGCTGCAACGCGTCGGTATGTCTTTCTCATTTTTTCAATTTTTTTCTTTTTGAAGCAGCGCGTGAGCTTTATCCCAGCGCATTTACACCGACACACACGCGCTCCTCATCAGCGCCTTGCAGTGATCTAGTCAAACTTGTGTTCACTAAGCGCCTCAATTGCGCGCTTTGTTTTTGTTACTTTTAGCGCCATTTGCATGAAAAAATAGAATTTCTATTCATTACACACCTTTTTTAATTAAAAAATAAGCAATAGCTTCTATTAGCAAAACTAATTACTGATTTATAAGTTCAGCTTAAAATCTGCGTTGCACTGATATCAATATATTGCGAACGAAAGCAAAAACGATTGAAGAGAAACGCAATGTTAATCAGCGTCGAATATTACGATTACGACGATGACAACACAACACAACCGACCAACCGACTAAAGTCGCAACTGCGAACTGAATTGCCAAAAACCTTGATACCGATCGCAGAAAATGAACATACACGCGCGCACACACATACACGAGCGCGCGCTCGCCAAATCCAAAACCTAAAATACCGAAAAACATGAAGCGAACAATAACAACTACAGCAATATAGTAATAAGAAATACATAAAAAATTGCGATCAACGCAGTGGGCGCTGTGGAGGAGCAGCGTAGGTATGTACCTACCTACCAGCAAACTATATGCGCATAAACGCGCACACACACATACGCGCGCGCACCTAAATCACATTTGAAGCTTGCGAGCGGGCAGCAGCGCGTCTGACTGCCAACAATGTATGGGCCACATGGGAAAACGAAATTCTGCAAACAACGATCGGCAGTAGGGCGCGACGCGGCACGGTGCGGCATAGAGCAGCGACGTCAGCGGCTCGGAAGGCGTTGACAATGCCGTTGCTGACGGCGACGACATTGACGCAGGCGTTATGCTTAGATGTGAGCAAAGCACACAACGCGGCGCAAACAGTCAGCTAAGCGCTCGCATCGCTTTTAGGTA